GGCGTGTGCCGCTGCCGCTGGGCCAGCCCGGTGTGTGGCACGGACGGCCGCACCCACGCCAGCGTGTGTGCCCTGCAGGCCGCCAGCCGCCGCGCGCTGCAGCTGTCGGGGACGCCCGTGCGCGTGCTGCAGAAGGGCGCCTGCCCCTCGGGTAAGCAACCCCCGGGGGACAGGGGCTGGGGACACTGAGGCCCCGGGAAGGACCGAGCTGCAGGGGCGCTCTGAAAACGTGCATCCGGCCCTCGGGGCCCCGGGTACAGAAATGAAGGCCCTGGTGGTAAATGTTGACCCTCGGCCAACAAAACGCTGGCGCACTGGCGTCTGGAGTGCCGGCGCCCCAGGCTCCTTGGCTCAGGCTCCCATGAACTCCCGGTGCTCGTCCTCCCGCGGCCAGGACAGGGCTGGACGCTGGCTCTCCTGGCGTCGCCCTGCGTCTCCTGCGCTAGGTGTTCTTGCTTCCCGCGGGTGGCTAGGACTGGTCTCTGGGGGGCCCTTTGGGAGCATCCAGTGGGGTCCCTGGATTGCTGGGCTCCACGGGGAAAGGCTGTGGTACAGAACCTGAGTCCCTGGACAGCCGTGCTGACCAGCGGTGGCTGCTTCTGGCCGTGAACAGGTCTCCACATGTGGGACTCTGGGGGAGAACCCCGCCGGCCCTGTCCTTGTCTGAGGGGCACTTAGGAAGGCAGGGTCTTGGCCAAGGCTGGTGCTGGGCCCCTGCTCAGGGCAACACGCGAGGTGCCTGCAGCCCGCGGCAGCTGGACGGACACTGCCCAGCGGTCTGGAGGGCTCTGCAGGGCCTGGGGGCACCTCGGGGTGCACTGACCACCTGGAGGGCTGGGAACCCCCCAGAGGGGTCTTCCAGGTGCTGTAGGGAAAGGCATTCTCGGTGGTGGAGGTCTTGGAGGCTTTGCTGTGCCTTGTGAGCTGAGCTGGGGCGGCCAGGCTGGTGTGGGGATTTGGGGGACGGACACCCGAGCGGGGCAGACTCAGGACAGTGAGCGGCCGCCGCATCCCGGGGTCAGAGCCTCCCACCTGCGTCTCCGCGTGGGTGCGGTCCTGAGTGGGGTGAGGGGCCTCAGGCCGTGCCTGGGAACCCAGGCAGGACGACATGGTCCTGCCGGCTGGCCCATCCAGCCTGGGGCTTGGCACTGTCTTCTGAGTGGTAGCGGGCCTGGGGCGGCCTGGCACTGGCCCTCAGGTGGCAGACACTACCGGAAGGGGGCTCCGGGCCAGGCATGGCAAGAGGTTGCGGGCGGGTAGTTGTCACAGTCCTTGTGCTTGACTGATGGAAGGCATGACTTCGGGCTCACACACGGGGTCTGAGGAGCAGACACGTGCAGGACGGGCGTCTGGGGGCCCTGAGGTCCCTGTGCACGGGGCGGCCGAGGGAAGCCCTGGTAGAGCAGAGTTGGAGGCATAGGGTCCCCCGAGCGCTTGCCGCCACTGGGGCTCAAGGTTGGAGAGACCTCGGGGAGCCGGGGTCGGGCGGGGTGAGCGGCTCCCTGACCCAGCCTGTTGGCTGTCTGTCCTCGAAGGGCTGCCGCCCACCCCAGGGTACCGGTCACACGTGGACCGTGGGCAGCCCGGCCACTGTCTCCTGTGGCACAAGGACCTCACACTCAGGCCGCCCCGGGGCTGCAGTGTCCTCCCTGTGGAGCACTGGCCCTTTCTCGGACCCCCAGATGCCCGGGCGGGGGTGACACGTGGGGCTGAGGCCACCTGGGCAGGCTGGGGCTTGGCTGGCTTTGGAAGCTGTGCCCTCGGGGGCCCTGGCTGTCTTTGGGGGCACCCCAGACGGGCCTGACGGCCTGTGCAGTGTTCCCGGGCAGCCCGGCCCCCGGGTGCAGTGGAAATCACTGGATGATGTCCCCCTCGTGGTGCGTGAGGTGCCGCTGTGCTGGGTGCTGCTGCACCCCACGTGGAGACCAGCTCCTCCTGCTCCCCCCTGTGCACGGGTCGGGCCTGTCCCCTTCTCAACCTCAGGGAGTGGCCTGGTGCCAGGGACTCGGGGCCTGCAGACCGGGTATCACTGCTAGGGTCACAGCGGGGTCTCCAACCCCAGTCCTTCTCGACCTCCCCCTCTTTTCCCCTTCATCATCACTTCTTACCCAGCAGCCACCGTGGCCCTGACAGCCTGTCCTGCTTGGCACCATCATGACCCCCTCCAGGGCTCCCCACACTTGAGGCCCGGTGCTGCCTCCCAGTGCCATGTCACGCCACCTGTGCATCCTTGAGCTCCGGCCACACTGGGCTCCCTCTGACCCCAGGACCTTTGCACACACTGTGCCACTGTCTGCTTCCCTCCTCCTGCCCCAGCTGAGATGCCCCCCACCCTGGGCTGCCTTCCCTGCCACGGTGCCCAGGTTGGCCCTCACCAGCCTGCTGGCAGAATTTGCATGATTCTTCCTTGGCCTGTTCCCCATCTCTGCATCCAGCCCAGATGCTGAGCCTCATGGGGCCTGGTCCTAAGCCCCCGTGTGTCCTTCATGTTCAGGCCAGGTGGCCTCACGGTGAGGCGGCTGTTAGGGTGACACTGGGTCTGCATGGGGAAGGCTCCCTCCTCCCCCAGCCTGAGCCCGCAGACTTGAAGGCTTTGAGTGTTGAGTCCAGCGCCTGTGGCCGGCCAGGGTGGTTAGGCCCCACGGCGCCACCCGTGTTGTTCATTTAAGAGCCCGGGCTTTGATGTCTGACCTCGGAGCAGGTTCTGAGGCCGCACATGTCCTAGAGCCCCCGACTGCGTGCACAGGATGGAGATGCGGCCGTGCCCCCCCCCGCCTGGGCAGCTGTGGTGCCTGGCACACTTGAGGCCCAGGGCCGCCTCTGCGCAGAGCGGGGCGAGGTGGGCATCCAAGGGCAGCCCAACTGCCGGGCATGGGGGCCGGAGCCCAGTGAGACAGTGTGAGGTCCAGGAGGGCTCGCTCTACCGCCAGCAGAGCCCCCGATGGGGTGTGGTGACAAAGGACGACAGGGAGAAGCCAGACAGGGTAAACCACCTAGAGGGTGGGGCAGAGGAGATCAGGGCGGGCTTCCTGTGGCAGCAGCTGGAGGCCCTGGAGAGGCCGGCCGTGAGGGGCCGGCGTGCGGCTTAGGCGTGCGGGTGCTGGGGAGGAGGGGGCCGCTGTCTGGCGGCCGCTCACAGCAAGGCCGGTGTCCTGGGCCAGGGCACGATGGCCCTCAGAGAGGGGGCGCCAGGGGCAGCTTGGGTCTCAGGACAGCTGGGGTGGTGGCCGTGAGGGTGGACAAGGGTGTGGCCTCCGAGGAGGGCGGGCTTGGGGACAGTGTCAGTGAGAGCGCTGCGGGGGCATGCGTGGGGCGTCGGGTGCATGTGTCACAGGCGTGCAGTGTCGCAGACGCAGCCTCCGCTCTGGCCCAGGACAGGGACAGGGACAGGGCCCTGGCCGTGACCCATGAGGCCTGACCCGGAGGCCAGGCCTCCCTGCGTGGTCTGTCGAGGACGCTGGGGCGGGTGGAGGCTGGAACGAGGTCCCCAAGTCCCATCCTGGCCGCAGCAGACACAGGCCGTGCGTGCCATGCCGGCCATGACCGTGGACCGGGCCGGGCCAGTGAGCAGAGGCAGGGAGACCCATGCTCGGCCCAGGGCCCCACAGCCTCCAGCAGCCGCCCTACGCGGTGCCCAAGTGCCTGGCTCTTCCTCCCCGGCCCCCGTGAGCCCCGTTCCCACTGTGAGCGTTGGCCCCGCTCCGGCTGTGTCTTCCACGGTGGCGGTGCTGCTGTCCGTGACCCCTGGGCCAGGGCCTGCCCGGGGGCGGGAGAGCAGAGGCCCCGATCTGACGCAAGGGACGCCCCTTTCATACCCCGGGGTCACGGGGTCACAGTGACAGAGCGTCGCCCAGTATGGTGATCTCATGAATTCTTGCCGTGGTTCTTCAGGAGGGAATCAGCAGTTACACAGTCTGCGAAGAAACGGCCCAGAGAGGTCAGGGGACCCGCCCCGGGCGCACAGCCAGGCCCCTCCACCCCGACCCAGGCACCGCCTGCCCCACACTGGGGCTTGCCTGGCCTCCGGGAGAGCCGGCCTCGGCCCGACCTGGGCTTGTGTCCAGCCTGGCTTCTCTGCCCATCCCCACATCCACCCCACAGGGCAGGGGCCCTGCCCCCAGCTGCCTTGGGTAGTGTGGAGCCCCGGGCCGGCCAGGCCTCGTGCAGAGCTGCCCAGCCTCCTCCTCCAGGAAGCCGTCCTGCCTGACCAACGAGCTAGGTGACCCTTGGGTCCCGGCATGACACTGGAGTGTCCCGGGGCCAGGGCTGCTCCCTCCACACGCACTCCAGGGTGGAGGTTCGTGTGCACTGTCCCCCATGCCATGCACTGCACTTTATTTTTTTATTTTTATTTTTTTTTGGTACTGGGAATTGAACTCATGACCTTGCGCTTGCCAGGCAAGTGCTTTTGCCACTGAGCTATATCCCCGGCCCTTTGCACAGCACTTTAAAATCATCATCCCATCCCCTGCCAGGGAGCTGTGAGCGAGGGCCCGCTGCCACCCTTGTTGCAGGTAAGGAAATCGAGGGTGCAGCACCTAGGCAACTCGTGAGGCCTTGCAGGGAGGCAGCCCGGGGGCGGGGGGGACTCTCGTCTGAGTAGCCCAGTGTGGGGAGCAGAACCGCAGTTCAGCCCTGTGCTGGAGGGACTGCTGCATACAGTTCTGCAGGCTGAACCCTGCACCGCTCCAAGGGAAGTGGACCATGCTGCTCTTTGTTGTGCAGTGCACAACCCCTGCAGCCGTCCATGGTGGCTCTGCAGTGTCTGGCTTGTTCACGTTCCCACTGTGGGCCTCGCTCTCCCCATCTGCTCCGTGGCAGCCAGTGGCTCCCAGCCAGGGCTGGAGACTGGACTTCTCCCCTCCGCCTGGCCCTGCCCTCCCCAGGGACACGCTGGACACCTGGCCTCGCCGCTCTGCTCTGTGTCAAGTTCTCCTTGACCAACCGCCAGAGCCTTCTGATTCTGCTTTAGTTTGGTTTTGAAACAAAGTACAAAACACAACAGCCACAGCTGAGTCTGTTGACTTCAGAGCCTCGGCCCCACGGTGTGGGGGTGGGGCTCCCCAAACCCAAATAAACACGGTCTGCTTCCCAGCCCCGGCCCGCCCTGACTCACCGCTGACTCATCCGTGTGGGGCCAACTTAAAGGGCCAGGCCTGACTGGGCCTGCGGGGTCCTCGGGCTCCCTGTCCCCTGACCCAGGCCCTGGCCAGGCCTGCTGTCCCCAAGAAGGATGCTGGCCTCCCGGCCTCAGTTCCCCCGGCTGGAAAATGGGCCTCTGGCACTTCTTGGAGTTCTAAGACTGACCCCCTTGGTGCCTGACCTGTGGCTCAACCTTGTGCTGGGCCGGACCCAACCCAGAACCCCGCACAGCCCCCTGCCTGCCCTGTGCTGCTGGGGACAGAGAGCAGACTGTCTTCAGCCCCCCCCCTCAGCTCTTTATTCTCAGCTCTGTCTGTACGTGACCCGCCTATGGCAGAAGCTCGGGAGTCTGAGACAAAGGGAAAACTGCTCTGCCTGCACCCCGCGCCCTAGTGCCTGCCCGTGTGGCTTCCGCGTCCTGCCAGATGTTTTCCGGAGGTCACCGAGTACAGAGCGAGGGTGGTCCGGTCCCCCGGACTCCAGCCACGTGGATGGTCCCAGGGCCTGCTGTGGCTGCGAGGTCCCCTGGGGGCCAGGTGGGCTGGACGGAGGTGCCCTCCTCCCCACTGAAGTCACCGTGAAGCAGCCGGTCCCGCTGAGCAGGACGGGACGTCGTCCTCCGCCTTCTGTCACTGTGGCATTCTCAGCAGCCTTTGGGCTGGACTGAGGGCCCCTGCCCCAGGCCGGGTCAGCATCTCTGCGTTCCCACCTCGCGCCCGGCTCCCCTCTCTCCCCTCCCTGGACGTGCTGTGCTGGCCCCCGCGGCCACTCGCCTGTCCCTCAGCACAGCGGTCCTCTGTGTCTAGCCACCGTGCGGAAGGCAGTCACGGGCGCCGCATGGGGAGGCCAGGCCCGGCCCAGCCTGTCCGTGGAGGAGCGGGACGGGCAGTGGTGGAGGGAGGCCACCCTGGGAAGGTGACGCCCCTGGACTCCTGTCCTCTGTGACCCTCTGGGAGTCTCTGGACACCTGTCCGGGCACAGCACGTGGAGTGAGGGAGGCCAGGTTCCAGATCCTCCAGGCCCCTGGGGGCTGAGAGCCGTCAGTGCGGGTGCGTCTGGGGCAGAGCCCTGCTGGGCAGCGGAAGTAGCTCCCTCCTTCCTGCCAGGGAAGGGGCAGGGGCCTGAGCCCCAGGACTGTGAGACGGGGAGCCGGGGGGATAGGACTGGCACAGTGTGAGGACCCAGGGCCCTCTCTGAGGTTTTGGGAGGCAGGGAAGTCGGGGCGCAGGGAGCCCTGAGCATGGAGTGGCCATCCTGTGGCCTCCAAACCCTGTGCTGGGGTTTCCTCCTCCAGCGTAGACCCCAGGCGCCAGTGCCTCACAGCGTGGACACAGCCACCCAGACGGTGGCCTTTGCTTCAGGCTGGCCGGTGCCCGGAGGCCGGCACGAGGTGACCCCCACAGCCTCCAGTGCTTCCCCTGTGCAGGAGCTTCCATCCGCAAGTCACATGGGCACCCCGTTCCCACAGGCCCGGGAAGGATGCCCAGGCCCGTTTTCCAGAGGCGGTCAAAGCCCAGAGAGGGCAGACGATTTGCCGGAAGCTGCTGACCTGGGGGTGGCCACACCCCACCAAGCCCACGGTGTACAGCGTGTGCTCTCCCGGGCACGAGCAGAACACATGCCAGATGGTGGCACCCAGAGCTCTGGGCACGGCCATGCTGGGGACCCATGCTGTAGGGTTGCGCTGAGGCCAGGAGGAACCTGGCCGCACCAAGGCACCACCCAGCCGGCCTGCAGGGGCTGCGCTGTGGTCAGGGGCGGGGGTTCCACTGGGCCCTGGCAGTGCAGCGTCCACCTTGGGGCTCACCGCCTCCACCAGAGCAGTGAGGAGAGGGCGTTGCTGTCCTGTGGGGCCTGCAAAGGCCCAGGCACGCTGACCTCGGTGCCCTGTGGGTGTGCTGCACGTCCCCAGGCTCGAGTTCTGGCCTCTGAGTCGGCAGCAGGGCGGTAGGACCAGGCCCACTGTGGCCGTCTCCTCAGGGGAAGGAGCCCCCTTCTCGAGGGGTGTGGGGTCTCCGGGGCTTAGCCCCTCACACGCCTGGTTCTTCTGGCCAGCGCAGGTCTCCACCAGGTGAGCAGCCCTCGGTACAAGTTCAACTTCATCGCTGATGTGGTGGAGAAGATCGCACCTGCTGTGGTCCACATCGAGCTCTTCCTGAGGTGCGTGGGGTCCCTGTCTTCCCCGCAGGTCCCCGGCGGCTTCTCAGGGTGTCAGATACCTGCTTCATGTCCCCACGCCCGGGCTGGTCTGAGCCAGAACACACGGGCCCACAGGTCTCGTGGCTCGTGTGAGTCCTGGTCTCTTCCCACCTTGACCGAGACCCCAGAAGTGCAGGCAGGAGGTGTGAGCTGCTCCAGCTGTGGTCTCAGCGCCCTTCTTACCCCAAGGCCCTGGGTGTGGGCCCAGCCAGAAGCAGCGGTGAACAGGCGTCAGATGGGAGGGAGCCTGCTGGTCCTGATTGGGATCAGGAGCCCGGCTGCCTGGCTCCTTTGCTTGACCCCAAGAGGCTGCTGGGTCCAGCTCAGGGCTTCCTTGTTCCTGGGTGTCAGTGCCCCTCGGGACAGAGCCCACGTCTCATACAGGGGGTTCTTCCAGTACCTGCTGCAGCCCAAGGGCACCCACAGCAAAGGAGGGAGCCAGGCTCACTGGGACTCAACCTCTGGGGGGACCCTGGCACCCCAGGGCCCCTCCTGATCCTTGGTTCATGGCTGCATCTCCCATGAACCCCTGGAAGCAGCTGTGTGGTTCCCACTCTCTGGAGGTGGAAGGCGGGGTCTGAAGACCCCCAGGTCCTTGGGGGCCGTGTGGGGTGGACAGGGGGCTCCGGCCCCAGAGCCAAGCGCACCCCGCCACCCTGGTGATCCCTCCCTGCCCTCCCTCAGGCCGTGATCCCCTGAGATGTGTAATTTCCCGAGGAAATTACAACTGGCTGCGTAAGTGGCACATCCCCAGGTTTTGGGTGGCTGGGTCGCTGCAGCCTCTCCCCGGAAGGCCTGGGACACCGGCCCTGAGCCAGCTAATCACAGACTGCTTGGCCGGTGACAATGTCCCTTCTCAGCCTAGAGATGACAATCCAAGGCGGGCGAGGCCAGCCCAGCAAGGAGCCTCTGGGAGTGACCTGACCCAGGTGTGGGTGTGGCGGCCACAGGAACCCCTGGCCGTCTCATACGGCCACAGTGGACAGCACAGGCCTCTGGGATGGAGGCAGCCCTCCGGGACAGATGCTGGGGTCATCGTGCAGGGCGGCTGAGGAGTGATGCCAGCCTGCAGCGCCCCGCTCTGCCCTGTGCCTCCTGCCTGGCCCAGACAAGGGGTTCAGTGTCTCTGGGATCGCTTTTCTCGCCTTTAAAGGGACCGGAGACAGGGACTACATAGTTCCCAGGGCCTCAGCAGCAGAATCACACTGTCTCCCATCTCTAGGGGCAGAAGCGAAGGCTGGGGTGCCAGAAGGGCCAGGCCCTGCGGGGGTTCTGAGGCCAGTCTGTTCCAGGCTTTTCTCAACTCCTAGGGGTGCCTGGCCATCCTTGGGGCTCCCTGGCCTGTAGATGCGCCGTCCCAGCTGTCTCCGGTGACCTGCGCCCTGTGTGTGTGTGTCTGAGCCTCCCTGAGGGGAGGACGCTGCTCCCCACATGTGGGGACCACGAGAACTTCTGCCAAGAGCCCGCTCCCAAATGGGCTGCATGTGCGGCTGAGGGTTAGGCCTTGGGCATGATTCGGGGGACACAGCCCCGGCCCACATTCCTGCACCCAGGGAACTCGTGCCTGGCTCCAAGGGAGAGCTCAGGGTGCCAGCTATTGTCCCTGGTCCTGCCGGATCAGGTGACAGCTCTGTACTTTCCAGAGATCATCCTGTCCCTGCCCCGTGCTGGACACTCCACCCACAGGGTTTTCGTCTCCTGCACGCTGCAGGCCTCTCGGCCCCTTTCCCTACTCATCTCTGCTTAGCAACCTGGAGGCCTTGTGCCTGTGCTCTACCAGGCCTTGGGCTGGGCCCAGCCTGGAGGGCAGAGTCCTGGTTCGCCTGGCTAGGCTTCCCCGTGTCAGTGCCCGCTGTGGGTCAGACAGTGTGACCGTCCTCACGAGCTGGGTCACTGCAGCACATTGCAGTGATGATGTCACCTGTTTATGGCCAGGAAGTGGTCCCCGAGACACCAAGCATGTGTGTCCCTCACCCCCGTACCTGACTCCCCCAACCTGAGGCCTCCCTGAGCGCTGCCCTGCCCGCCCCCTGCAGACACCCCCTGTTCGGCCGCAACGTGCCCCAGTCTAGCGGCTCTGGCTTCATCATGTCGGAGGCCGGTTTGATCGTCACCAACGCCCACGTGGTGTCCAGTAACAAGGCTGTCTCAGGCCGGCAGCAGCTCAAGGTGCAGCTGCAGAACGGAGACTCCTATGAGGCCACCATCAAAGACATCGACAAGAAGTCCGACATCGCCACCATCAAGATCCACCCCAAGGTGAGAGGCACGGCCGGGAAGGGGCAGCTCCCGTCACAGCAGAGAGCCGGAACCGGGCGGGTGACACGCGTGTGATCCCCGGGGCGTTGGCCACGTGGGAGCTTGCTCAGCCAGGACCCTGGGTCCCCTGAGCCTCCTCCGCATCCTCCCTCCTCAGAAGAAGCTCCCGGTGCTGCTGCTGGGCAACTCGGCAGACCTGCGGCCCGGCGAGTTCGTGGTGGCCATCGGCAGCCCCTTTGCCCTGCAGAACACGGTGACCGCAGGCATCGTCAGCAGCGCCCAGCGGGACGGCAAGGAGCTGGGCCTGCGGGACTCGGACATGGACTACATCCAGACGGATGCCATCATCAACGTGAGTCCCGGAGGGGTCAGTGGGCGCCTGCCGTCCATGCCCCAAACCTCCTGGTCGCTCCCTGTCCCCAGACCTGTCTGTTGCCTGACACACCCACTAGCAAGAAAGGTCTGCCCACACGGCTGGCTTCTCCCTGGGTGTGGGTTCTGCCACCACGCCGAGCCTTCGTGGAGCTCAGCCCGGACACCCTTGCGCGACCTTTGTGTCTGCCGTGACCCATGATGCTGGGACTGCCAGTCTCTGGAGGCCTAGATGGCAGGAGCACACTGCCCCGCACTGCATGTGTCCGGCGGGCGCTGCTCAGTGGCAAAGGCGCCAAAGCGTGTGGCTGGGCCGCGTGCCCTTGTAGCTCAGGCTCCGTCCTCACACTGCGCCCCTGCTTTTCTCGCTGTGAGGTGGGGCCGGGCATACCTTCTCCCTGTCGAGAGCCGAGCTGGGGACCTGCAGGGGCCAGGGGCACAGCTGACACCCTGTTTTCTTGCAGTATGGAAACTCTGGAGGACCCCTGGTGAACCTGGTGAGTGTCCCCTAGAGCCAAAGTCTCTCGTTTCTGGGGCGCTGGTCACACGGGCACAGCCTCAAAGGGGGGACAGGCCCCCCAGTACAGCCGTAGAGGCTGCAGGCCCAGCCTTGGGCTGTGGGGGTGCTGCACGTGCTGCCTGGGCTCCTTGGGAGGATGGCGCTGTCAGGAACGAGGACTCCCGTGGGACAGCAGCCCCCAGAGCCTGAAGTGGGCTGGACGGCCGGACAGGCCAGGCTGCCAGGCTCTGGGCCCCTGTGGAGATGGGAGGGCACCCTCCTTCCCTCTGCCACCCTTCCTCAGTCATTATCCCCGCTTTTGGCCCCAAAGCCAGGCTCCTCACCTAGGTGAGGTTTTCCTGGAATAAAGCAGGGAGTTCAGTGAAGTTCGGGTGAAGTCCTCGCCTCAGGAGGGCTTGTCCTGGAGGGGACACATCCAAGAGCTGTGTGGGCAGCGTGACTGGCTCTAGACTGGTGCTGGAGGCCCTTAGGCTGCTGTGGGCAAGGAGGGCTTCCTGGAGGCAGAGGGGTCTCAGCGGGCGTGTGAGGGAGACCAGGGAGCAGGGGTGCCGGGGAGGGTACAGTGAGGGGCCACCGAGGCACAGGCAGGCACTGTCACTGCAGAAGCCAGGCTGGGAGTTGTGGGGTGGCTGGTGGCCCTATCCAGATGGCCCTGGGGCCACCTGTGCAGGGCGAAACTTCATCCTACACCCAGGCAGCCAGGACCAGGGGCCGCTGGGTGTCACCCTGGTGGTGGGGGTGGGGCAACAGGCTGAGGCTGGGCCTAGAGCTGCAGTCTCCTGGGTCCTCTGCTAGCCTGCCTTCCTACCTCAAGAGCCTCGGGGACCAGGAGGACACTGGTGCCTGTCCAAGGCTCCCCCAGTCCATGAGCCCCTTGCTGTAGCCAGGGTGCAGGTTGGGGTGCACACTAGCCTGGGAAGGGCTCTTTCCCGAGTGAGGTCAGGGATGGGCAGCGCTGTGCAGGGTGGTGACGGACAGGGCCGTGAAGGACAGGGTGGGAGTGGGGTGCTGTGGGGCCGCCCTGACCTATTACCTGGCTCCCAGGAGGAAGGCGTACCTGGGGGACTTGCTGTCCCCTCCCTCCCAGCCAGCAGGAGGTGGTTCTGGCTCCAGTGGGCGCTGTTTCTTCGGGGCAGAGAGCTGGGGGTAGGGGGCAGAGCCTCGGGCGCCCTGGAAACTGCCTCCAGGGAGAGCAGGGAGTCCCTAGGGCTCGAGGGTAGCGGGGAGAGGGAGGCTTTCTGAGCAGCGGTGACCCTTTCGGGAAAGTTAGGGCTGCCCAGGAGTCACAGTGAGGGTCAGGGCATCCCTGGCAGAGTGGGCGTGGAAAAGAGAGCTGTGGACACCGTGCCTTGGGTGCCCTGGTGACCATCCCCCATCGTTCTGCCCAGGATGGCGAGGTCATCGGCATCAACACTCTCAAGGTCGCGGCCGGCATCTCCTTCGCCATCCCCTCGGACCGCATCACCCGCTTCCTGTCCGAGTTCCAGGACAAGCACACCAAAGGTGCGAGCTCCCCCGGGGCAGGTAAGGCAGGCTGCGCTGGACGAGGCCCCTCTGCCACCAAGGCCTGTGCCAGGTGCTGTGGGCGCCGTGCTCACCCCGCCGTCCGGACCGTGTCCTGCGGCTGAGGTCTCTGATCGAGGCTCCCACCATCCCAGCTGGGACTCCAGGGCTCTTGTCTGACCTGTTCTTTGGTGGTCAGTCCTGCCCTCTGCCCCACCCACTCACCCATCCACCTAACCCCAGCCTGTCCACCCACCTCATCCGTCTCTGACTATCCATCCATCCATCATCTGTCATCCTTTCAGCCACCCATCTGTCTGTCCATCTTCCCTGCCACCCACCTATGCATCAGTGTTTGCATCCAATCACCTGTCCATCCATCCACTCACCTGCACACCCATCCGTCCATCTGTCCATCCATCCATCCATCCATCCATCCATCCATCCATCCATCTACCTGCCTACCTGTCTATTGGGCCACCTGCCCTTCTACCCATCCCTCCATCCACCCACCCATGCACCTACCCCAGTCCCTTCCCTCCTTTCCTTCCTCCTTCCTTCCACCCACCCCTGCCAGCACCCCTGCTATCAGCCTGTGGCTCTTGCAGACCCCTGTAGGGTGTCCCCTGTGCCAAGATGCCAACCTCTGTCCTCCAGAGGAGCAGAGCCAGCACCCCGATCCTCGGAAGTCACCCTGCTGCTGGCTTCCATCTGCTCACCCCGTCCACACAGGGTGCCAGCACACCCTGTCTGCTCCCACACGACCCCAGCATCCCTTGCCAGCTCTAGAGTGTCTGACCCAGCGAGCGTGCGGACACTTCTGAGCCCTGGCCCTTCCTCCTGGCGGCCCTCACCTCCCTGTTCAGCCCCAGGGCTTCCCCTTCCTGCCGTTCATCTGGGCCACGCCCGGGTCAGCCCCAGCCCCACGCCCGCACCTTCACGCTCCCCCTTGTCTCCTCCAGCCCTCTCACCAGCACTGCACTGACCTTTCGGGGCTTCCTCGTGCCCGCCCCTCCTCCACCACCCACCGCCAAGCACCCGGAGCCCAGGGCAGCCAAGAGCGGCGCTATGAGGACCTGAGGCAGGAAGAGCTGCCCTGGAGGACCCTGAGGGCCGGGGTGAAGACAGCCTGGAGCCAGGCAGCACCTGTCCTTCCTGAGAAGCAGATGGCTCCTCCTCTTGGACAGTGGCCATCTGACCTGAAGCCCTTTTCCTCTTGGCTGCTAGGAAGCTCCTTACTAGACCCAGGCTCTACCTTGCTTCCCTTCTCTGAGAACTGAGTCTGGCCTCAGCCTCTGGGTGCCCGAATCACTAGGGCTATCAGACCGGGGTGACCTTTGCATACAATTGGGGTGCTGGCCTCCTTCCCTGCCCTCCTCTTTCCTCTCCTCTCAGACAAGAGCCCCGGAGTCCTGGGTTGGTCTTGTGTTGGTCTTGTGCTGTCTCTGTCCTTACGACTTCATCCTGGCTCCCTGCCAGAAGCATGTCCCTCCCCAGGGGCAGCAGGGACAGCTAGAGGCCATGGGTCTTAGTTTATAACAGATCTAGAGATTTAAAATCCTCCTGAAGCAGGGGTTTGATTTTGCCTTTTTTTAAAATAAAAATATTAAATGATCCAAACCCAGTTAACCTAAAACTCTTTAAAACATACAACCTATTTATTGAATCACGGAGGTACAAAGGGTGCTTCTTGTCCATTTTCAAAGATCTGCTTCCTGTTGTCTGTCTTTTGTTTTGCTCTTTGTTTATAGCTGGAGTTTCTTGTATGAGAGAAACCATGGGACATTCAAGCTTGCGTGTCTGATTTATTTCACATATGGCCCATCCATTTTCCCACACATGGCTCAAGTTCATCCTTCTTTGGGGCAGAGTAGTACTCCGTGGTGTGTGAAGACCACGTTGTCCCCATCCATTCACCTGTGGATGGACATGTAGGCCGCTGCCACGGCTTAGCTACTGTGAGCTGCACTGCGGTAGACATGGGTGTGCAGTGCCCTTGGCATCTCTCGTCCCCTTCCTCAAGGGAAGGGGTCATGGTCCTGACTCCCATGCCCAGGTATGGGCAGCCACAGCCCTGGGGGGACCAGAGCCATGGGAGAAGGGACACCAGAAGTGCCCACCGTGATGGGCACATGCTGACTGCAGTTGACTGGAAAGGTGGGGGAGAGTCTCGGTGAGGGGCCCTCAGAGACGCCGGGAGCCGGGGCGGGGGCGTTTACGGAAAGTAGTGTGGACGGGGGCCCAGGGGCTGAGGGATGGGCCAGGGACGGGTCCCGCGCAGACGGGCTTCACCCGGCCATCCTTGGGCCTTACAACAAGCTGTGGGCCATCAGTGACATTTCCTCCCTGCCACGCTAGTCCCCAAATGCTCCCGGCTCACCCGGGCCTTTTCCCTGATCCCCTTCCCCCTGCACCCTGTTACTGGGTTGGTTTTTGTTCCCAGTACTGAGACTTAAACCCAGTACCTTCACCCTGAGCTACCTTCTGGACCCCTTTTATTTTGAGACAGGGTCTCCTTAAATTGTCCAGGCTGGGCTTGAATTTGGGATCCTCCTCCCTCAGTCTCCCTGGGTGCTAGGACTATAGGTGTGCGTTGCCACACCCAGCTCTGCTGCTATCTGAGGATTATTGGTGAAGCTTGTGTTTCACACTGAGACGGTGACTCTTGGGGGCCACCTAACCTCCCGCCCCATCTCCTTCCCTTGGTTTCTTTCCAGCTCAGTGAGCTGAATGTGCCTGGGTTTGATGATTCTTCAGTAAAAGCACAGGGAGAAGGGCTGGGGTTAAGATGCCGCCTGCCGTGGGCAGTGGCGTCCCCTACCCAGGACACCCTTGGCCACAGAGGTGGCCCCAGGCTGCACTTCAGGGAAGGCGCCTATTACCTGGGGACAGGCCCTGCTGGCCGCGGGCGCAGGAATTGCAGCCTGAGCTGTGCCGGGCTGACCAGACCCCAGGGTCCGGGAGGGGGCGGCCTGTCCCCCGCTCTCGCCGTCTGAGTCCCCCGTGCCCACGCCATGTGCCCTTTGTCTCCTCTCCTGAAGCATCTGCTTAGATATTTTGTCACTAGAACGTTGGAGGTTGCTTGTGTTCTTATTGGTAAGTTGTGGGACTTCCTAGATAGAATTCTTTTAGGACAAATGGACCGCAAACACTTTCTGACCTGTGTTTTGTCCAGTCCAGCACTCTGGAAGGCTGAGGCGGGAGGATTACCAGTTTGAGCCCAGCCTGGGCAACTTAATGACTCAGTGAGACCCTGTCTCTACAGAAAACATGTATAAAAGGTCTGGGGATATAGTTCATTGTGAAGCCCCTGGCTTCCGTCCTCAGTACGCAGCAGGGCAGGGGGTGTTTTGAAAAAGCCGAAGCTCTGTGAAAATGTTTTTTTCTTTTTCTTTTTGGTGGTACTGCGGATGGAACCCAGGGCCTCAGGCAAGCTAGTCAGGCACTTTCCCTCCCAGCCACACCCCAGCTGAGGCGGTCGGGCACATTTATGAAGTGTAGGTTTCTGGTGAGAGTAGTGTCTCAGTGATCTTTGCAGATCCAAGGTCAGAAAGATTTTCTCCTGCAAGTTTTGCTCTTCAGGGCCCATGCTTAGGACTGCGATGCTTGTGCAGTTTTTTAAACAGTGCAAAGTGTCCATCAAAGGTTTGTGCTTCGCGTCTTTGCCTTGGAGACCCAGCTGCTCTGGCATGCTGGCTGAGCGGAGGCCCTTCCTCCAGTGCCTTTGCAGCTTTCTCAGAAGACAGAAGGACTGCGTGCTTCCCTTGTCTGTCTCGGAGCCCTTTCCACGGCCTCAGCTGCTGCAGCCGTGTGAGGGTCTTTCCCATTTCATTTCATTGCTTCCTTTCGTTTCATTTTGTGTTTTGAGACAGGATCTCCCCATGTAGTCCAGGCTGGCCTTGAACTCACTGTGTAACCCAAGCTGGTCTCAAACTCAAGATGATCCTCCTGCCTCAGCCTCCTAGGATGCTGGAATTACAAGTGTGGGCCACTGTGTCTTACTTATAATCTGTTATATACAGGCTAATTTCTGATGGTTGACATGAGACTGTATAAATAAAATCAGTCTTTGTGTGTGAATCACACGATGTCCTGCAGATTTGATAGCTCACTGGCTCTAGTAGCTCTTGTAGATTCACTTCAACTCTCCCCTCTTTGATGCTAATCAGAATGACTTTTTTTTTTCTTGCCTGGCTGGAATTTCTAGAAAATGTGAAATGCAAGTGGTGAAAGCAGACATCCTCATCCAGTAGCCAAGCTTAGAGAGAAAAGAATCGGTCTTTCTCCCTTTAAGCACCACGTTAAGATCTTTTTGGGGGGTGGGGGTTGAGACAGGGCCTCATTATGTAGTTCACGCTGCCCCTGAACTCACTATGTAGCCCAGGCTGGCCTCAAACTCAAGGTAATCCTCCTGCCTCAGCCTCCTGAGTGTGGATTACAGGTGTGCACCACCATGCCCAGCTACCACGTTAGGTTTTAATAGACGCCTTGTACCCAGGATAACGCTTCCTGGATATGACAGCCCCCTATGGTGGGTTGAAGGTGCCCCTGCTGTGTCTCGCTTTGGCTGAGAACAGAGGTGAGCTCCCGTCTGAGCCTCCTGTGTGCTTTTGCACTGATCCAAAGCTGGTGCACTGGCCCTGCTGAGTTTTGAGTGCTGAATCCCCTTTGCATTTGTGGGAAATCTCGCCTGGTCATGTCATGCTGTCCTTTTTAGATGTTGTGGGGTATGATTGCTGAAAGCGTTTAAAGCCATTTCTGTCTGTCTTCCAGATGGATGTAGGGCTGGTGTTCTCTTGTGGCTGGGCGTGGGGGTCGGGAGATGAGCGGTCTGTCCGTCCCTGTCCCTGGGGGAGTCTGTAGGCCCCGAGCCGCCTCTTCCCCAGTGAGCTGGTCCCATTCCAGTGACACAGGGTGGCCTGACCCTGTCTGCGGGCGGATTTTTAGGCACGGATTGGTCGTCTTTAATGGAAGGAAGGCTGTTCAGGTCGCTTGTTTCTTCCCAAGTGAGCTTTAGCGTTTAGAATCGCAGAGCTGCGTCCAGTGTGTGAGGGATTCATACGTTGGGGTCAGTTGTTCTGGTGCTGCCTGGTGACCAACTCTGGCCAAGGGGTGTCCCGCGACGCACCCTGATTCTTCTTGGGTCCTCTCTCTCCTCCTTGTGATCACACTGGCTAAAGATTTACCAGTTTTATTGATCTTGAAGAATCTATTTTTGGTCTTCAATTATTTTCTCTGTTGGGACTGGGGATTTAGCTCAGCGGCACAGCGCCTGGCAAGTGCAAGGTTGTGAGTTCAATTCCCCGTACGGGAAAAAAAAAAATTTCTCTGTTGTCTTTCTGCTTCCTCCATTTACTGCTTATCATCCTGGTCTCCTGTCTCCTGCCCCTCCGGGCTTCCTTCGGGTTCTTTCTCTAGTTTGTAAGACAAGAGCCGAGGTGTGAGGCCTTTTCTAACCGGTACGCTATTACTTTCCCAGACATCTTCGTCTTACTGCTTCATTCCACTGTGGTCAGAAAACTTTTGTGAGATGAAACCTTCATGTGTTGAGTCTCACGTTATGGTGCAGTCCCCGTCAGTGTGACTTAGACGTCAGTGTCCGAGTCACCTGCCAAGGCTCTGGGGTGGAGGGCAGAGGGGCCCACACACTGTGCTCGAGGCGTTACCCGGTCACAGTATGTTTGTAGGGAGGGCACGGGGCTGATTCTGTTCGGAGCAAGGACATCTAAGGGAGCAGCAACATGGAGTGGAGGGGGAGCCCTGCCGGCCTGGGGATGGCGTGGGCTGGAGGTGCAGATTCCGGGGCAGAGGGGTTGTGGGGAAGGGAGCTCCCGGTAGCAGAGCCGGACAGGGCCCAGACAGCCCTAGCTGTGCGGAGCAGGCCCATGGGGCGCTGGGCGGCTGAGCAGGACGCTTCCTGCTGTTCCTGGCCCTGCGGGGCACTGTCTCTCCGCCGGTCCCCAGGGGCGGGCAGCTTTCTTCACGGCAGCCTTGACCCAGCCGTGCTGTCTCCTTCCAGACTGGAAGAAGCGCTTCATCGGCATCCGCATGCGGACCATCACGCCCAGGTGAGCCGCGGGCCGCCCCGCCACTCAGCCCCACGTGGTTTGCTTCTGTCCTGCCCGCTGTGCCCGACCTGTGCCTGGCTGGGCCCTCTGCGCGGACGCCGGGGCTGCTCTGCCCTCTTGCCCCTCCTCCAGGGCCCCTCCTGGACCCGTGTCCTGGGGTCACCACGACACATCACCACGACGTGGTGGCTTTAAAGCCCCAAAGGCAGTCTCTCACAGCCGTGGGGCTACGAGGCTGAGACCGGGGAGTCAGCGGGGCGTCCTGCTGCCTCTTCCGCCCTGCTGTCCCCTGGCATCCTCTGCTTATGTTCACGTCGCTCTGGCCCCTGCCTCTGCCCCCACGTGGCTGCCTCCTCTCTGCGTGTCTGCGTCCAAGTCTCCCTCCTCTTCCTCTCACACAAACACCACGCACGATTCACAGCCACCCTGAGTCCTTGAGGATTTCACCTCCAGGTCCCTCACTCGTTACACCGCAAAGCTCCTGTTCCAAGCACGGTCATGCTCTGGGCTTCCGGTGTGCGTGAACGTGGAGGGACACTGCCACTCTGCCCGCCTGGGACACTCGGGGAGGGAGCTGCCCCTCTGCATGGCTCTGGTCCCACTGTGTGGGAATTGTCTGTCTGGGGGACACCCCCCTGCCCCGCCCTGCCCTTCCTACTTGGCACTGAGCTGTCGGGGTGAGCAGGGCATCCGGCCGGTCCTCCGATTGGCTCTGTCAGGACAAATACACAGCAGCGGTGTGGAGTGAGCAAACGGGACGAAGGAGAGAAGGGGAAGGATGGGCAGGGACACCAACCAAGTCCCAGGGCTCCGTGACTGACCCCCTGTCCATGTGTCCACTCCTCCCTCCCTCCCTCTGTCCATTTATCCTCCATCCCTCCCACCAGCCCTCCACCCGTCCATTCATCGTCCGCCTATCCTCCTTCCCCCATCCAGCCACGCTCCCTGCCCCACTATAACCGCCCATGGACACCGGGTTTCTCCTGAGGCGCCCACTCAGGCCTGAGGGGCACAGAGCCTTGGTGAGGGGCAGGGCAGTGGGAGCCTGGGGAGGCCGCTCCTCTGGCCTGGGCAGTGGTGGGCAGGGGCAGCTTCATACCCAGGAGCTGGTGTGGGGGCTCAGGGGAGGCCACACGGCCGCTCTTCCTTTCCAGCCTGGTGGAAGAGCTGAAGGCCAGCAACCCGGACTTCCCCGCGGTCAGCAGTGGCATTTACGTGCAGGAGGTCTTCCCCAACTCCCCTTCCCAGAGGTAGGCTCTGCTGGCCGGGCGGCGCGGCCGAGGGGAGGGGAGCTGACAGCCTGGCGGGTGGCGCGGGTGCCAAGGGCCGGCGCTGGGCCTCCCCCTGAGCTCTCGGGCCTTGAGCCTCCTGAAAGCTGTGAGGAAGAGAGCTGGACACGCTTCGCCCTCAGCCAAGGGGTGCTGGCCGGCTTCACAGCCCCCAGAGCACCAGCTGTGCCGGCCTGGGCCTGAGTGGCGCTTCCTTTGGGAAGGGAGGCTGAAGAGTCCCCGCCTGGGCTAAGAACCACCTCAGACCTTACCATCCCCAGCCAGGAAGCAACCTCATCCCCTCCCGGGGAATGAGAAGGCTCTTCCTACCGTCTCCACCGAGACTCCAAGGTCAGATGAGAGGAAGCCTTGCTCCTCTGAAACATCCATTGCTAAGGGATGTTCGTTGGTCACTGCAACCTCGTTATTTGCCTCCATACGTGTGTCTGGGCTTGGCCCGGCCTCCTGAGGCCGTGCACTGACTGTGTCTCTCCACTGGCAGAGGCGGCATCCAAGATGGCGACATCATCGTCAAGGTCAATGGGCGCCCGCTGGCGGACTCGAGCGAGCTGCAGGAGGCCATCCTGACCGAGTCGCCACTGCTGTTGGAGGTGCGGCGGGGCAACGATGACCTCCTGTTCAGCATCGCTCCCGAGGTCGTCCTGTGAGGCTCCGCCTCCCTCCAGCACCAGGCGCCAGAGCCAGAGCCGCAGGTGGCAGGTGGAGTGAAACCTCCCCAGGATCAGGACGAAGGACCGTGTGGTCCTCAGTGGGGCCAGCAGCCTCCTCCCCGTGTCCAGGAGCTGAGCCCGAGGCGGGGTCTGAATCTCAGCCTCAGTCCCAAATCCCAGGCAGCAAGGGAAGCCTGATGTCCCCAAGCACAGGTGCTCCTGAAGGTTCTCGGGGACCTAGAAGACTCCTGCAGCTCCCTGGAGCCCGCCCTGTCCCCAGCGCCCTGTCCGGCCGCCAGCCTCTCCTTCAGCTCCCTGCTCCCCATGAACATCGTTGCTCTGAGCCCACGCTGGCTTCCCCTGCTGCAGCAAACGGCAGGTGGACCCACACAGCGTATGACAGGGGCTGCCGCCCCGCCACCCAGAGTCCTCGTGGGCAGGTGCACAGCTGGCCCCCTAGAGGAGTCCGGTCTGACGGCCTGGTCTAGGTGCCCAGTGAACGTCCCCGCTGCAGAGCCACGCCGTGCACTGGCCTTGGGGTGCACCCTCGCAGGGCACAGAAAGTGACAGGCACACCACCTGGCGGCCTGGAGGAGCCGTCCCTCCAAGGTGACCACGGGGCAGCAGGACAGAGCTGGGACCGCTGGGTGTGAGGACTGAGCCGGCTTCGCCTCCCCACGTAGTCCAGGGTGCAGCCGATGGCCACCCAGAGCCAACGGGCTCTTCCCAGGACCTGGTGCGCTACTCAAGGTGTGCTTGTGAGCTTTGCTGTCCGTGGACCCCGCCGTGGCTGTACTGTATGTTTTCTACTGTATGAATTAAAGTTTACAAGCGCATGGTGCCCGGCTCTGGGGCGTTTGGGTGGACCGTGCCCCACTGGCTGGTTTTCCTCGGGGGCCCCATCTGGTATATTGTGGGGGACTCGAGCCGAGAGGTGGCGGTGCCTCTGCGGGTTTCCATGACAACGAAGCATCGTGCACACGCCGGTACCAGCCCGCCCGGTGCTGCAAGGGTGGCTTCGCTGGGTCACTGGGGACAAGTCTCAGCTCCGGGTTTACTTCCAGCTCCGAGGTCTTGAGTCTGGGCATCCCTCGGCCTGCTCTGGCTGTCCCTGTACCTGTGCTGTGGCCCCTGGCTGCCCTAGGAGCCCAGGCCTCAGCGCTCACCCTCCGTCCCTCATTGCAGCCTGCCCCACGCTGGGGAAGCTGAGGCAGAAAGGTGAAAACAGCAGGCTTCCCAGGACACAGGCTGGGGAGGCTGGAAGCGGGACACCAAGTCATAAACTCGGCCGCTGGGAAGGAAGGACGTCAGGGCCTCGATCCCTTCTCATGCCCTGGGCCACTGAGTCCAGGCGCTGGTGGCCCTGGGTGTGGTTGGCTGTGGGCACCTGGTCCGAAGGCAGCGGGGCCCTTGGCCAGAAAGGAATGGAAGAGTTGCAGGCAGCTTCTTGACGAGGATGCTCTGGGAGTGGGCTCTCCGATTCCAGGCTTGAAACTTGCAGGCTCACGGTCAAGGGGCCGGGCACAAGGGTGCTGGCAGCACGCTGCCCCACCCTGTGCCACACCAGGTCTCGCTCTCCCCTGGGCTGCCTGCCTAGCCTCTGTCCTGACCTGGCCTCCGGCAGTGCACCTCCCCATTCCAGGGCACCTGCTGCCAGCTGTGCACCTTGCCTCCGGCCCTAGCCTCCCACCTCAGGCCGGGACGAACTCTGACAGGCCCTGCCAACCCGGACCCCAATTTGGATCTGTGCCTGTGCCCAGAGTCTGCCTGCCAACTCCAGCGCTGCCCTGCTCCCCTACCCGTGCGCACGGCAGCCCCCAGAGCCAGCCCTCGCGCCTCTGTCTCGGCCCGGCTGACCGTAGGAGCCTTCAGGACTGGGGACACTGGAAGTGCCGATGGAGAAGCAGGGACCCGGCAGAGGGTGCAGAGGGCCGGGCCTCATCGGGTACCAGAGGGATGAGTGCCCAGGGGAGGGGACTTCAGAGCCAGGGCCCCTGGGCAGGAGCAGGCCTGGGTCTTCCTGTCTGCACAGCCCCTGCTCTACGGCAGCAGAAGCCCCCTCCTGCCTCGATGCCGTACCCATGCGGGGCAGGATCGACGCCCTGGCTGGGTCCTATTTCCTGACCTCCTGTGCCCTCCAAGAGCACCTGAGGGACAGGAGGACCCACTCACCCGCAGCCTGGCTGTGTCCGGTAAGCTCCTGATCCCGTCTCGCCCTCCACAAGTACCAGCACCAAGTCCCCTGAAACCTCCCGGCCCCCCCCCTCACACCCCAGATTCAGTGCAGAGCTCTGAGTCCTCACACCGAGTTCAAGCACCCTTACTCACCCTGCTCTCCAGCCTCAGCTTCTCCAGCCGTACAATGGGGCGGACACTGTCTCCTTGGCAGTTCGGCCTCGCGGGGAGATGCCAGTGTGTGGGCGCCCGCTGAAAGGCACAGGGGCTGCCTGGCCTCGGTCTGACTCCAGAAGGGCCCCCAAGTGTCCCCTCTGGGGCTCCCCCCACCTCACGTGGCCCATGTGTGCACTAGGCTGATACCTGTGACCCGGCTGACTGCGCGGAGGGAGGCCGTGCCGGCCCACGTCCAGCCCGCGGTGGTGGCACTGGTCTGTGCCTGCGCTGTGCACCGCCCGAGCTCCCCGCCCCTAGGCCTGGCGGCTGTGCTGGGGGAGCAGCTGCTCCTCAGCAGCAGTCGGAGAAAAACAACCTTTCCACAGCCCACAGCGGCTGCCAGAGCTTGTGCAACCTCCAGGGCCCGCACGGCCCTGCCCTCCTGGGCTCTGGGCTCCCCGAGGCGGCACAGCGGGTGTCCACAGGCCACCTGTCCCGGTCCAGGGACGCCTCGGGAGTCCTGCAAGACCCCGCATTCCATTGCCCCCTGCGACACAGCAACGGAGGCCCGAGAGGGAGGGCTCGTCCGCATCCCACAGGAGGCTCGGGCTAAAGGACCAGGCCTCGGAGAGGGGCGGCTCAGCACCAGCGCTGACCTGTGGCCCGGTGTCCTCCTCCGAGTCCACCCTGCCACACTATGACCGCCAGGTTCTGGGACAGTTCCAGGGGAGGGAGCGGGAGGCGGGGCTGCTCCCGGCCTCGAGTGGCACCCTGAGCTCGGCGACTCAAAGGCGGCAGCAGCTCCACAGGGCGCAGCCCCTACCGTGCCTGTCCGCCTTCCTCCGCTCCGTTGCGCTCGGTGGGATGAAGGTGAGGAGGACGTGTGGGTCCTTGGCCACCTCTGAAGTCAGGGTGTCTTTGGTCCATTCCTGGACTCTTCTCCACGGCTCTGTGCCCTGGACCTGACACAAGACCGAGGGAGGGGGGGACCACCCATGTGTCCCATCCCAACTCTGCCAAGCTGAGCGATCCCCCTGCGCCTCAGTTTCCCCAGGTATAACACAGTGCCTTTAAAATGTACGCTGGTCTGCTTTCCATGGCTGGGAACACATGCATCCAGGAGGTTACGCAGCTCACTTTGGGAGGCTGGAAGTTCAAGGTCAGGTGGCCCACAGATTTGATCTCGGGGAGGTGGAGGGCGCCATGGCGGGGCCTATGCAGGAGGCAGGCAGGGAGCGTGTGGCCGGGCAGGAAGCCAAGGTGGGTAGGACATGGCCTGCTCCTCCATGATGACTGTCATAAGCACTGGCCGGGCTCCCCTAGGGCTGCAGGGTCCCTTCTCACACACAGACCCAGTGATCCAACACGCTCCCACCCTGGGTACCCTGGGACCCAGGCTACAGCAAGGAGACTGGGGGGCCACACATAACCCACGTCACATGCAACCCCCAGTGCAGGACCACAGGTACCTGTTGCTGGTTCTCAGTGCAAGGCATCTCTCAAGGACTCCTGCACTGAGGGCTCAGAGACGGGCTGGGGTGGTGCCTGGGGCACGGGGCGTGGACCTCAGCAATGCTGCACCCTGATGAGCTCTTGGCTGCATGGGCCACGGGGATGGAGCCAAGGGGAGGAACTGGGCTGCTCTTCCCTCACCCTGCTTCCAGGCTGCCAGGAAGTGAGCAGCTTTCCTTATCCTGTCCTGTCCTGTCCTGTCCTGTCCTGTCCTGTCCTGTCCTGTAGATCTGCTCCCTCCCCGGCTCCGGGGGGCCATCTTCCCATGCAGCTCCACCCTGACCCTGAGACCTGGAACTCCTTGGCAGCCAGGTGCTGAGCTGGGAGTAACTCAGATATGAGAGAGTTTGGGTCCGTTCATTCCTTGGCTCAACTTCCAGGAAGACTAAATTTTGAGTCTCCTGCATGGTCGGTGCCCAAGGGGAGTTTTTCCCACTCTGCCAGGCACTTGGCCGCGCTCCTCCTCCACACCCAGGTGAGGGGCTGTCAGGGTTCTTGCCTGTGACTGAGGAGACCAGGTGGATGAGGGCCAGGCTCACAGGAGGTGCTCACAGATGGCTGCTGCTGCTGCATGGGGACGGGAGAGGGGAGAGGGGAGCCGCTGGGGACCCCAGAGCACACAAGACCAGACCCAGCTCCAGGAGAAGCTGAGAATGGCCGAAATCTCTGGGTGGGACAGCTCATGACCCTTCTGTATGTGTGCTGCAAAGCAGGCACATGGACAACCCCTCTGCCTAGAAGGAACATTTTTTTTTTTTTTGCAGTTGTTGTAGTTTGGGGTTTTGCAAGGGAAGCAATACAGGACACATAATTTATAAGACTGTTTTATAATAGTCACCCAAAGAGTCATATACAAGAGAATGCAGGAAATCCATCCACATACTGAGACTGAGAGAATCTAGCTGAGGGCCTGGATCCCAGAGTAATGTCCTGCATGAGTCCAGCTGAAGACCTAGAGCCCATAACAATGCCCTCTACGAGTCCAACTGGAGGCCTAAAGCCCACGACAATGTCTCATGCAGGCCTGTTTCATGGACCTGCGCTGTGAAGGCCCAAAGGTCAGTGGTGGAGGCTAGAAAGTCTGGGCCAGCGGGATGGAGGATCTGTGCTAGCAGGCTGAGAGATCTGAACTGGAGCCAGGAAGCGATGCTAACCAGAGCTCCCCTGAAAGGTACCACAGCCATCCTCAGCAACAGTGAGCTCCTGAGCTCCTCTGATGATGAGAGTAGCCGAGTTCCCATCTGGAAAGCCAACCCGACAAACTTCTCCAGGACACTGAACAGTGCACCATTTTCCCCCCTGGAAGCAGGAAGTGATGCTCAAAGTAAGGACCAGAGCTCCCCCAAAGTGAACCACAGCCATTCTCAGCCACAGTATGGTCCCGGGCTCCTTCGAAGATGAGAACAGCCAAGTTCATCAGGAAAGCCAGCATGACAAGCTCCTCCAGGAGAACCAACAGCTCCCCACAGCTTCTAATTTCTCCCTCTCCAATTCTGCCTCTTATGCTGCTGGCAACAATCCTTAGGTGGGCCTTTCACACCCGGTGCCACACTGGTTCAGTTCAGCTGGGTGTTACAAGCTGACAGCTGGTTGTCAATCCACCATAGCAGTACTGGGAATTGAACTCAGGACAGTCACCCTGAGCTATATCTCCAGTGCTTATTTTATTTTTTTTATTTTGAACAGGATCTTGCTAAATTGCTTGGGCTGGAATTTGTGGTCCCCCTGCCTCAGCCTCCCAGATTGCTGGGATTACAGGTGTGCACCACCACATCCGGCCATCAATCTTCCTTTTGAATTTGATTGCCTTTTGCTGATTCTAAAAAGCACTCAGCTGTTTTCCTTGTGATGCCACCTGTCATTGAAAGCCATATATGTTAAGATCCTAACTCCCCTCAAGGGCCCTGGACCAGACTTTTCTCACCCCCAAACTGCTTCTGTCTGACTCGGGAGATAGCGGTGATTTGTATATTTTTAAAAGGTTGTAAGGAGAAGG